GCTGCTTCTTAAGAACTTGAAGCATCCTTTGGTTTCCACCCAGAGACATTAAAAGTCAGCAGAAGCCTCACATCTATTTCTGGCACCATTTCTAGCATCCTCTGGGTAATTTCTGTCCCAATAGTAAATTACTCTATTGTCTTGGACTAATAGGGACACATATGGCTTTAATGAGTTGAGTTAGAGTCACTGGAGATTTAAAAAAGGCAATTCTTTATTGTCCCCTACAATTATAGTCGTTTAATCTTTTTTATAACAACTTTATTGAGCCACAATTCAATAGCATACAATTCACCGATTTAGAGTTTACAATCAGTGGTTCTAAGTACATTCACAAAGTTGTGCAACCATCACTACAGTCAATTTTAGAAAATTTTCATCTCTCCCAAAAGAAATCCCATCTACCCTGTCCACCACCCCTGCCCCCCTGCCCAGCCCCTGAAACCATTAATCTACTTTCTGTCTCTATGGATTTGCCTGTTCTGGACAGTTTATGTAAATGGAGTCATACCCCATTGTGGTCTTTTGTGAGTGGGTTTTTTTCACTGAGCATCATGTTTTCAGGGTTCATCCACATTGTAGTGTGTGTCAGTGCCTCACTCCTTGTTATGGCCAAGTAATCTTCCTCTGTCTGGATGGACCACATTGTGTCTATTTATCCATCAGTTCATGGGCACTTGGGTTGTTTCCACTTTTTGGCTGTTATAAGCAATGCTGCTATGGGCATTTGTTTCTATGTGGATGTGTGTTTTCATTTCTCTTGGGTGTATACATAGGAGTGAAATTCCTGGGTCATATGGCAGCTATTTGCTTAACCTTTTGAGGAACTGACAGACTGTTTTCCACAGCAGCTGCACCATTTTGCATTCCCACCAGTAATTTCTCCACATCCTCGACAACACTTATTATTGTCCGACTTTTTGATTTTAGCCATCCTAGTGGGGCTGAAGAAGTATCTTACTGTGGTTTGGATTTGCAGTACCCTGATGTCAAACAGCTGGTTAATCTTCGAATATATGTCCATATCTTATTTTGGTCCTGCCACAGCCTGGAGACGATGGTGTTCTTTGCACCTGCACCGTGTGTGTGTGTGTGTGTGTGTGTGTGTGTGTGTGTGTGTGTGTGTGAGAGAGAGAGAGAGAGAGAGAGAGAGAGAGAGAGAGAGAGAGAGAGAGAGAAATAATAGAGTGTGAGGCTTATGCTTGAGAAGCCCAAATCTAAGCCATATGTTGCCAGATAAGAGACAGGACACCCAATTAAATTTGAGTTTTATAGAAACAATGAATAATTTTGAAAGATAAGTATATCCCCAACATTGCATGGGATATACTTATCCTAAAAAAATATTCGTTGTTTATCTGAAATTCAAAATTTTATTTGCCAGATCTGGCAACCCTGCCTGTCACTGGTAGGCTGTATGCCCTTGGGTGATTGGCTTTGTCCCTTGGAGGTCCAGTTTCTCCATCTGTGCGGTGGGAATAGGGCTTATTGAGAGAAGTCAGTGGCTCATTACCTGTAGAGACCTCTGTATGTGGATGCTGTTGATGTGACTGCAGCTGGGAGCTTTAGGCTGGGATTGGATGGCATGAGTGTGTGGAGCTGGAACTGGTGTCCTTGTCCTCTCCAAGCTACCTCCCAACTTCCTAGTGAGTGAGTGAGTGAGTGCGTGTGTATGTTTTCTCTTGATTTAGCCTAATCTGTACGGAATGTGACTCAGGAACATTGATGCTTTGTTTTCCCCAATTTTTTGCTTGGCTCTTTATTTTTCTAATTAGTACTTCTTTTGTAAATTATTCTCAGGGTGCATTTTTAAGAGGATTTACTATTCTCTAGAACAATCTTTTTGCCTCAAAGATATTGGGGGAAGGTTTAGTGTCTTGGAATAACATAAGTAGGTGTTGTGTACTGAGCCTGATAGTCCTGGTGCTGAGAGAACTCTGTGTGTGTGTGTGTGTGTGTGTGTGTGTGTGCGCGCGCGCATTGGCAAAGAGAAGCCGTCTAAAGAGTTTGATTCTGATGAATGTTAAGTATAGGGGGCACACAAAAAAAGGAGAAAGATCCAAATAGGTATATGGAGGAAAGGAAATCAGAGAAGGCTGTCTGGAGAAGGCTGAACTGGATATTGAAGGATGATGAACTGGATTGAGAAATGGGGAGGTAAGGTATAAAAGGGCTTTGATAACAAACGAAACGAGGGTTCCCTTGTCCAATACAATAGCCACTAGCCTATGTGTCTATTTGCATTTAAATTAACTAAAGTAAAATGAAATATTCAGTTCCTCAGTCTCATTAGCCACGTTGAGAGCCACAAATGGCTGGTGGCTTCTAGAGTGGATAGTGCAGATATAGAGCATTTCCATCACAGCAGAAACTTCTGTTGGACAGCATTGGACCAGGACAGGGTGGTGAAACTACAGCTTGAGGGCAAAACTGTGGCCTGCTGCCTGTTTCTGTAAATAAAGTTTTATTGTAACACAGCCACATCCACTCATTCACATATTGTCTCTGTCTGCTTTCGAGCTATAATGGCAGAGTGGATTCATCTCAGTGTAGAATGTCTGACTGTGAAGCTGAAAGTAATTATTATCTGAGCCTTTATAGAAAATGTTTGTGCACACTTGGTCTAGGGGAATGAATGCACAGAGCCTAGAGATGATTGTGATACGGTTGGGAGAAATAAACAACAAGAAAATAGCTGACATTAATGAGCACCTACTATGTGCCAGGCACTGCTCATGGGCCTGCCCTGCATTATTTTACTCACTGGTCATGTTACAGGGGAGGACACCGAGCCTTGGAGTTGTGTGAGAGTGGTGGGCAGGTCTGTTGAGCGTGGTGCAGGGGAGGGAGAGGTGGAACCTTGAGGGCTGTGAGAGGAAAGTGTGCAGGGTCATGGGGAGCCATGGAGGGTGTCAGAGCCCGGGAGAGACCACCTGCAGGAGAATGGGCACACTGGGTGTTTGTGAAGGAGCGATCTGACTCTGGGAAGCCCTTGCCACTTCCAGGTAAAAGGTAATGAGGCCTTGGCTGCCTGCCTGGAAGGAAGGCAAGTTGAGAAGGCATCAGTGCGGTGGGAAAACTGTCAAACAAATTCAGCTGTCCTTGCCCCATTTCTGATATGGACACCTTGATCCCCATAAATCCGTTTCCTGAAGATCTTCAACATTGCATCAGTGGGGATGGCTCCTCCTTCCCCTTTCCCCTTCTGTACCTGCTGCATTACTCAATCCCCTGTAATTCCAGTGCCTCGATTGCGTCACAGTCCATGTGATGATGCTAAGGCTTCTAACAGGTACTGCCAATGGAGTTATTTTCTTTGCTTTTCAAAGGCAAAGACACTTTACAGGAAAAGCTCTAATCAGGGTTACCTATAGAATTTGCAGGTCTCAGTGCAGAATGCAAATGTGGGGCCCCTTGCTAAAAAATCATTAAGGATTTGAAGACAGATGAGACAGCATTAAGCTGATCGCAGGGCTCTTCTGAGCAAGTTTGGGACTTAGAGCGCATGCCTGTGAAACTGGTACTGCCACTCATTCTTCTAACTCGTCCATGGCGTGTGTTCTTACCTGTCATGCTTTCTGCTTAATTCCATTTCTAGTGTGCCCCGGCATGGATATCCGGAACAACCTCACAAGGTTGCACGAGCTGGCCAACTGCTCCGTCATCGAAGGACATTTGCAGATACTATTGATGTTCAAAACGAGGCCCGAGGATTTCCGAGACCTCAGTTTCCCCAAACTCATCATGGTCACTGATTACTTGCTGCTGTTCCGGGTCTATGGGCTGGAGAGCCTGAAGGACCTGTTCCCCAACCTCACAGTCATACGGGGCTCCCGTCTCTTCTTCAACTATGCGCTGGTCATCTTCGAGATGGTTCACCTGAAGGAGCTTGGCCTCTACAACCTGATGAACATCACCCGGGGCTCTGTCCGCATCGAGAAGAACAATGAGCTCTGCTACCTGGCCACCATCGACTGGTCACGCATCCTGGATTCGGTGGAGGATAATTACATTGTGCTGAACAAAGATGACAACGAGGAATGTGGGGACATCTGTCCAGGCACTGCGAAGGGCAAGACCAACTGCCCTGCCACCGTCATCAACGGGCAGTTTGTTGAGCGGTGTTGGACTCACAACCATTGCCAGAAAGGTACGCTGGGGTGTGCAGGGTTTGAAGCTGTTTCTCGTGTCTTGTTCTTAGAGAAGCTGGAGTTTTTCCCTAGCCCAGGAGGTGGCACACCTTTTCTGCAAAGGCTCGGATATTTAGACTTTGCAGGCTGTACAGTCTTTGTCACAACTACTCAGCGTTGCCATTGGAGTGGGAAAGAAGCCACAGGCAACACATGAATGAGTGTGCGTGGCTGTGTTTTGATAAAACTTTATTTACAAAACCAAGTGGTGGGCTGGATTTTCTAACTCCTGTGCTAGACAGTTGAAGGTTCCTCTTGCTTGCGAGAGGTGGGAGTGGATGAGTATAAACTTTGTTGTAGAAAAAACAAATTTATTTCTTATCTGATTATAGAAGTAACATTGCTTGTGGTAGACATTTGGAAAAAGAGTAAAAAAAGCAAAACAGCAATCCTTTTTCCACAATTATTGAGTGTACATCCTTCTCGTGATTCTGTTGTGTCTTAACTTACTTAACTTTCCTTGTTGTTAGGCATTTAGATTCTAGTTTTCACAAAGAAGGGGATGAACATTTTGGGGTCAAAGCTTCATCAAGGATTTGTTTCCTTAAGCCTTACTTTTCCAGAAGTGAAATTTCTGGGTCAAAGATCCTGATTGCCAGATGGCTTTCCGGAAATGGTGTACCAGCGGGCACTCCTAGCATTGGCTGAGAGGGAACACCTTGGCCAACTTTGAGTGTTGTTTGAAAAATCTTTCATAATTCACTGGAGGGAGGAGCTGATGTGTTGTCACTGTTCTATTTGCATTTCTTTGATTGCTATCAAGGTTGAACCTTTTAAAACATGTTTATTTATCATTTGGGTTTTCTCTTCCTGTTCATATCCTTTGTTCATTTATCTTTTAGGACCTTAGTGGTTTTTGAAATATTCATCTGTATATGGTTTTCATAGATGAAGGCTATTAACCCTTTGCCAATTTTGTTTTTAGACATTTTTATTCTAATGCTCTAGATGTCAGTTGCCAGAGAAGCTTAAAATGTTTATGGAGTTCTGAGCTGGATTTTCACATGCCTCTCATGTTACTTTATGCTTAGAAAGTCCCTTTCTATCCATAAAATGAATGTTTTTTTCTTAAGTTTTCTATTTCCATTTTAATTATTAAAAAAATTCATCCTGGACATCTGGGATCTATTTGTGTGCATGATTTGAAGGGATGTCCATTTCTCCCCCAAATAACGAGTTGGAGTCTCAGTGCCGTTTATTGCAGAAATTACTCCTTCATTGTTGATTTGGAGTTTGGTTCTGAGTATCCATAAATGTATGTGTCTTTCCTTGCACCAGGGCCATTACTGTTCTTATCACTGTAGTTTTATAATGTTTTGATACCCAGGGAGGCAAGTTACACACACACACACACACACACACACACACACACACAGACACACACACCACACACACACACACACACACACACTACTACTTGTTTATCATCTCATTGCCCTTTCCATACATTGTAAAATTCCCTGGGAAGAATTAGTGAATGTGAGATCAAGGTGGAAGAAAGTGAGTGAAAGGGTAAAGGGTTGTATCACAAAAGAATAGAGCAAGGGAGAAAGGAGGGTCTTCTCACTTGAGCCCAAAGCTACAAGGAAGCCACACAGGGTGAGTCCTGAGTAGCATCTGTGGAATTGCCGTGAGGACTCCATTGGAGCCTAAGGGAGGAGCCCTTCCATGGCACAGATGTTGGGTGGCAGGAAACATTTGTGAGATGGTGAGAGAGTGGAGACCACGCCTCTTCTGCGAGGTTGGGCGGTGAAGGGAAGGAGAACCTGGAGGGCTGTGGATGGGGGAGGGGACGGCGATTATTGTACTGTGGAAAAATCTTGAGAATGTTGATGGGTCAGGGACACAGAAGCTAAACTACAGCTTCAAGAGGAGCTCTGGTATCCTTGCTTTAGGGACCAGAGAGGTTACTTGCCTAATGCCACACAGCTAATAAAAGACAGCTGGGATTTGCACCCGGTCTGAGACACAAAAAAAGCATATGTATTTTTTTTTTTGGGGGGGTGTCCCCTCCCCTCTGTTTAGACATGGGAGGGCCTCTTCTAGATGGGGCACCAGGGAAAACAGTGAAGGCTGAGTTCTCCAAATTTAGGAGCGTGTTTGAAATGCTCTGGGCTCATGCGTCTTGGAATATAATTTAAGACATTCTTTTGTGGATTTATTTCTGTAGCCATTTTAGTGAAAATATCCAGGACCATATTATCTGCAAATGTCCCCGATGTTTCCAGCAGGTTTTTTTTAATCTTTTGCTCTTGAGAATAAGGCTTGTTTTTCCAGCACTGGGGGTTTTGTCACCATGGCAGGTGCCACTCTGCACGTATTGCTGCGACGAACACCTGCCAGGGTACCCGGTTCCTGGCATCTGGCATCGATGTCAGCTGCTCCTGGTTCGTGATCAGTAATGGGGTTCCCTAGGGGAAGCATTGTCCTGTCCTGGTAACAGATGTCAACAAATGATTGTTCTTTGAACTTCTGTCCGTTGAGCACAGGCTTGAAAAAAAATTTTTTTATTGTGGTAAAATATACATAATGTAAAATTTACCACGTCAACTATTTTTAAGTATACAGTTCAGTGGCATTAAGTATATTCACATTGTCATGCAACCATCACCAACATCCGTTTCCAGAACTTTCTCATCTTACCAAACTGAAACTCTGTCCTCATTAAACACTCACTCCCCTCCCCTCCCCCAGCCCCTGGCCCCACCATCTACTTCCTGTCTTTATGAGTCTGACTCCTCTAGGAACCTCATATAACGGGAATCACACAGTATTTGTCTTTCTGTGTCTGGCTTATTTCACTGAACATCATGTCCTCAAGGTTCATCCACATTGTAGCATATTACAGGATGCCCTCCTTTTTAAGGCTGAATCCTATTCTATTGTGTGAATAATCCACATCTTGTCTATCCAGTCTGCCATGGATTGGCACTTGGGCTGCTTCCACGGTTTAACTATTGTGATTAATGCTGCTAGGATTAATCTCTAGCTTTTTAAATACCTACCTTACCTTTTTGCTGTGGCTTTAGAAGTATTTAACGTCATGTGGGGTTTTTGAATGCAAAGCAGACCAGAATGAGCCTTTAGAGCAGCGGTTCTCAACCTTCCTAATGCCGGGACCCCTCAATACAGTTCCTCATGTTGTGGTGACCCCCAACCATAAAATTATTTTTGTTGCTACTCTATAACTGTAATTTTGCTACTGTTATGAATTGTAATGTAAATATCTTTTTGTTTTCCGATGGTCTTAGGCGACCCCTGTGCAAGGGTCATTCGACCCCCAAAGGGGTCGCGACCCACAGGTTGAGAACCGCTGCTTTAGAGGATAGTCCCCTTTTTAGGAGACAGCTATAGACCTGTGACAACTATGTCAACTCATCTAGTCCCCTTGAATCCTCTCAAACACTTTGCCCAGCATTCGTGGCCATTGTCTTTTTCTTGCATATTTGCCAGGCTCTCTGGAAGCTTCTGGGAACTGGTCAGCATTTGGGATGAAGGTGTTGGCTTGTCCTCTGTACCCAGTTTAAGCATTCTCTACAATGTCTCTTCTTTTACCTGTCCCCAAACAGTAATGTTTTTGGGCAGAGAGAACAAAAGAAGGTGCTTAATGGTTAAGGTAATTAAGGGGGAAAAAACTCAGTGTGGTTTGAGATGCTTTCTCTCTATCACCCTGTCTATAAATTTAGGGTGAAGATGCCAGGAGGGGCCAAATGCAGGGCGCCCTGGATGTGTGGAGAGGAGATGGGGTCTGTAAGCCAGATCATGAAATATGTTTATTGAGAGCCGACTATGTGCCAGGCATTGGGGGTCCTTGGGACCCAAGAGGAGCCAGCCCCTGCCTCCTTGGAGAGGACCTGCTGGTAGCAAATACAGACATTGATTATGTAACTAGTCATTGTGGGTGAAAGCATGCTTGAAGCCCTCAACTAGTATTTGGGGTCAGAGAATGTGCCCCCAGGCCCCACTGGTGTGTCACGAAGGCCTGAAGTTGGCCTCACTGAATCCATTCCAAAGTGTTACAAGAATTGCCTTGGAGTCCTGCTTAGCCATTCACTGGCCATGAGCTGGGTTGAGCCTCAGTTTCTCAATCAGAAAAACGGGGATAATTATGGGACCTCCTTGTTAGGGTTGTGGTTTGGGGGTTAAATGAGATGGTGCACTTAGCCCAGGGCCTGGTCCTTCATGAGTGTTCTGGAAGTTTCTCCTAAATACCATGGGTCCACCACCCATTCAGACCAGCCGCTGGTGAATACCTGCCAAGTCTTGGCTGCATTTCTGACTTCTATTAGGGGGCAGGTGGAGGACAGCCCCAGAGGGAAGACTACTCTGCTCAGCCGGTACCTCAGCTTGCAGTGCTCTGAAGACCCCAAGCTCTGGGCTTTGGGGGGGACCAGAAACCACAGGGCTTGCTTGGCCAGCTGATCTAACCAAATCCTCTGGCATTTTTTTTTTTTTAATCCTGAGAGGCCACCCCAGCTGCTTGCTGCCAGTCAGAGGGGTGGGTGAGGCCGGGGCATGCTCTGTGCTGGAAAGCTGGTTGGCGATGCCGCTTACCGACATCAGCAAGAAAGCAGAAGCAAGAGGCAGAAGGGGCAGGTCCCTCCTCCATGAATTTGCATTTCCATTTGTGTTTCAGATGTGCTGAAAGTGGGGTGCTCCATTTACATGAAACATGAAACATTTAAATACTTGAAGGGTTTGCTTTTAGACAGAAGTTTAACTTTATATTGAAACTTTTCTTCTTCTATGTTTTAACTCTGCCTTTGGTATTTTAACAACGAGAATCTTCTTGGCAGTGAATGCTTATTTTGTGCCGTCGTAGTAAGTGCATTGCTTATGATACTGCATCTAGCCCTCCCAGCAATTCCTTCTTATGGTGAGGTCATGGAGGCCCCGAAAAATTGAGCCACTTGCTCTGAGTGACATCCCAAGTAAGTGCTAGAGATGGGATTTGAACTTG